TTTCAGTTCGACCCTGTTGAGCTGCGCACATTCGTTTTTCAATCTTAGACTTTAAGATATTTGACGCCAAATTCCAAGATTTCCCTTTCCATCCATGGGTGGTGGGTACCCGTTAGCCCCACCCCTCCCCCTCCGTAAAACTGGTCCCAAAGAAATAACGATTATTTTGACCTTAGTGTCAATGGAAAATCSACCTAGCCTGACCTACCTCAACATCAATGTGATGTGGTTTGTCTCCAGCTTGAGTTCTTTAATGGCACAYGCCACAGGATTTTCCTGCATCTGGGCTTCTTTAACGATATTCTTGATTTCGGTCCAGTCAATTTGGTTAGCAATAGCACTGTTGACGATTTGTATGGCCTGATCAACCTGTGCAGCAAAGAGAAAAATAATACATTTGAGAAAGATGATAGAATAGAAACTTGGAATATGTTTATGAAACAAAGTATTATGGGTGGTGTTTGCGGCCAATGCATCGTCTTTCACCGCTGTGAGTCCAACGGGTCGGGTTGCTGGTTCAAGCCCTGTGGTCGCCACATATGAATTGAGTTTGTTTGATGTGTTGTTCTCTCCTATGTTACAAGGGTTTTCTCCGGGTTCTCCAGTTTCCTCCCTACGTAAAAATCAACCTGTGAATTGAGCGTTGTGTGCATAGAATATTAAATGTAGTGGTAGTGCAGGTGAGCGAAAAGTGCCCCCAATTAGTGCGAAAGCGCTAGAATGACTAGACACTTAAATAAAGATATTTATTTATTTATTTTAAGTATGGAAGAGCAAGAGCGAATGACAACATCCAACAAACAAACAGATAGATAAATGAAAATAATTCGTCATTTATAGTTGGTATGTGGATGGATAGAGGAAGGGATGCAAAAAGACACCTGTCAGTTCCATCATACAGTACTTACAAGTGGTAAATTTACTTCAATTAATTCAGCTTTTTTAACATCATAATCCTAAAAGAGTAAAAACCTCAACATAAACTCCAATGCAGTCATATAAAAGGGACTACACATGGATGGCAGAGCCAGGGGGAGGGCTGGGGGGCTTTAGCCTCCCCTTCTTTTACAAGAATGATACTTTATTTTCTCTTAGTTTGAGTTCCACTATGAAGAAAAGAAGAGATTAATATTAGCCCCCCTCCCTCCCCACTCCCCACTTTTTTCTTGATCTAAACCTAACCTGTACAGATCTCAACTCTTTRAGCCTCTTTTCATGGTCAAGTTTGACATTTTCTACTTTCTTCAGAGCTACTTTCTCTTGGTTTAAGGCTTTGACGTCAATCTTCTGGCTTTCAATGTTGGAGAAAAACTCATCTACAGCCTGCAGAATTTGACAAACAAAATACATTGAATTCTCGCAACAGCGGACACCCCGATATTACAGACACATTGGTATTACAGACTGGACAAAATCCCCTGCAAAACATACTGACAAAGAAATGACTGTAATTAGATCTCGCTATTGCGGATGCTCGCTATTACGGACAATGAGTGACAGTCCTGAGGGTGTCTGCTGTAGCGAGAGTTGACTGTAACAGGCAGATAAAATATTTATAGACATTGTCATTGTTATGTTAATGTGCAAACCATTGTTACAAATATAGGTTTTATCACTTAACTTTATTGGATTGTCCATTCCAAATAAATAGATTTCTGGTTGGCAGTTTAAATAACAATCAACCAAAACAAATTTTGTCATTGTATACCCACTTATAGGGAAAGGAAGGCTAGTGAACAAGACTAGTTTTGTGAAGTACAAGTATCACCAACATGACCATGATGAAATAATGTACAAACATTTTCTTAACTGCAGATATGTTTACRTACCTTATCAAATGAAGGGAACTCGCTGTACRAACCGGATGCATGTTGACTTAGAAGAAATGGATGGAACTCTTGAAAACTAGAAYGGTAAATATTGAAAATARAATAGTRAATAATTGAAAGAATAGATAGAAATAAGTATTGGTGTTAATATTAYATGAATGGATGGGAAGGATAGTAAGATGGGATGGAAGAGGACAAATAGATAGATGGGATGGAATGGGATTGGATGAGATGGAATGGGATGGGATGGAATAAAATGGAAGAGAATGGGATAGGATGTACCTATGTACTCACCTATGTATGGAATGACATAGAAAATAGATGGACCGTCAGACTTACGTGATTATTTCAGTCACTTCACTTGWAGAGCCAACTAACATCGTACTAGGTTTTTTCTCTTTCTTCTGTATAATATAGCCCTTAAATAATCCAAATTCAAAACCCACTTCCAGTTTACTATGCTAATAAAGCTAAATTTACATACTAATAGGCCAGTTGCTTGACGGCATCATTTTACTATGGACCTTTATCGCACGGCAGCCATGTTCATTCTCATGAGAATAAAAACCTTTGTTTCACACGAATAAATTAATTCTCAAGCGCTTGAATTTGAGGCTACGTGTGGTGGAATCTATTGTTCAATCCAACATGGCTGCCGCGTGAATAAGGCCCACATCACCAACAAAACACTTTATAAATTTTCTTTCTTATTTAAATCGAAAACAGGAAAACAGGGACCCCTACACTAATTATTTATTTGATTGATGGTAATCTGTTGCCAATTTTTCAGTCATTGACTCTGTCTCAATCAGTGYATAACAAAGTGGTAATTTATGTACTTTGGAAACCATACCAGTGGTAGCACATGGTTAAGCTGTCGATTAAAATAATACTCAAAGCATGGGAAGCAGGGGGTGCTTGCCTGTCGTCAATGTAACCCAGTGTCATATGTGAGTAGAATTGCTTGTTGCTTGTTGGTTCTCTCCTGTGCTTCAAGAGGTTTTTCTCTTGATTCTCAAGCAGCAGGTGCTTGCCTCTCATCAATGTAACCCAGTGTCATATGTAAGTATAATTGCTTGTTGTTTGTTAGTTCTCTCCTGTGCTTCAAGAGGTTTTTCTCTTGATTCTCTGGTTCTCATGCCTCCATAAAAATCAACTTTAACATTCAATCATGCAACGAGGGCCACAGGTTTGTTAGCCTAATTAAACAAGCATGATTGATTGAGTCATATTTACCTTACAAACTTGTGCCTGTGCTTGATCAATAAATGAGTCTGCCATTRCAAGCGCACCCATTACTTTAGAAAGTTCTGGGAAAATGGGGAGAATATTTGAATTTAATTACATGTAGGGAAGGTATTCTTTGCAGAATTGATAAACATTGTTATATGTGAGATGCTCAGTACCCAGGGGGGGGACTCCGGAAATTTTCAAAAAGACCCCTAAAAGATACCGGAAGTCTTCAAAAATGGGTATGGCTGAATAATTTTTAACCCCTAAGAGATACCACAACAAATAATATTAAATTTTAAATAAAAAGCACCTAGGATAAGCCATATCGATGTGCGCTTCTCTCCTTTTCCCACACCCTAAGAGATACCAGAAAATGCTGATTTTCAAAAATTTTCAAAACACCCTAAAAGATACTAAATAGCAAATTTTTACCCCTAAGAGATACGACGAGTATCCCCGGTACTTTTTTCCCGGAGTCCCCCCCCCGGGGCTCAGTAATATCTCTTGTCTCAAATAATGACTGATTGTTTGAATATCAACATGGAATGACTGGTCCCTGGAATCACCTTGTTCACTGCAAAATTCATTACCAACTTTGATAGCAGAAGGAAAACCAACTGCATTCAGACAGTGCTCCAGCAGCACRTGCCCATAAACTGAAATAACAAAAAAATGGTTACAGGAAAGGTATATTTAATATTATTTTGAAAAAGAAGATAAAAGGCATTTTTTTCTGGTAACTGCAACAAAGTGGCTGGCTGCCATTTTGGATTATCGCTGGAGGTGATTATTGTGTGATAGTGTGAGTTTCTTGACCAATCAGAACGCTAGATTTTTAATAATCACTTGTGTATTTTTACCAATTAATGTTATTTATCACAGAACAAATCTCACAGAACAAACCTCTCAAAAGAGCCCCTTATGAGAAGTGACGTCTTGAAATATAAGTTTAAGTATATCTATGGAGACTTGTGCTCCTTCTACTTTGTCAACAGTATTATAGAGTGGAAGAAAACGTTGTCTACATGAAGATGTGTGTAGTATGGTCTGTATATACATGTACCTGTATACACTTATTTCAATAAAGTTTATCACCTGAAAAGCTACAAAGCTGAGACTGACAAAGATTATGGGTAGATACATTTTACATGTTTTAACTGCTTGATAACTGTTGATAGACTTGGGATCTTCTACCAGTTACAAGTTCACCTCCTCTGAGCATCCTCAACTACTGCACATTGTGTCAAAACCTTTACTTGTTGAATATGAAATATTTCCCATGATTCTCAGCGATCACAGCTTTCTAGGTCTTTGTTGACTAACTTTATTGAAAAAAGTGTAATAGACTTACTAAAATAAGGATTCAAAGCCTTCTTTAATGGTTCTCCTTTTTTACTGGTCATGATTTCTGTTAGAATCTCTTTTAACCTGTTGAAAAAAATATATTATAATTGAACATCATAAACATCCCACATGAGAGAGGAAATGATGTCAAGTTGAATGCTGAAGGAAGTATTGGTGAGGACCTGGTAAGCTATACTAATATTTTAAGGTGTGATTATGATTTTGAGCCACCAATGTGTATCCAGTAATTCCAGAAATCATGGAGGAATGTTTATTAAAGACCCCCACCTCCCCCCCCCCGCTATCCCCCAAAATTCCAATTTTCTTCCATAC